AATTTTCAAGCAGGTACGTAACACTGATAATGCTACTGTCTTAAAGGCAAAGGATCTTCTGAGTATGATGTATTTCCTTTTTCCCCCATCCCGACACACAATTTTCTTTTCAACGTTGCTTTCATTAGGTGTGTCATTGCTTGGAGATGACCCTCTAATGGTTGACACCTCTTCATAAATGGATCTACTTTCCTTCGTAGTTCAGTCTCTATTTAAATCAGCCCGTGCCAGCCATCCACAAAAGCACATTTTTTCTGTGCTTTACGTTAACTGGACCAACACAATAAACTTAAACCAACCTCAACCACCAAGCTGTCAGAACAGATCAAAGTAACGCTGCTTCTAAGATTACCCCATCACTAACTAATCCAACCTATGAGCAAGAACAGATGGACAGAGCCCTGAGAGCATCACCAAGCAGTGTGGCGGTTGAGATGCACCCTGGCAATAGCAGCACCAGAGCAATCACCAGTGCAGGGGGCTATGTAGATTCAATCAGGACTGTTCAGGTAAGAAATCCAAATTTAGTAATCAAAATTTCCAAAGGGAGTTCATATTTGGGTTATCTACACATAAATTATTTTCTCACACAGGACCTTTGCTCTCTGAAATGCTACTTGGATTGTCACCAATCACCACCTTAACTCTTCGATTCCAAACACTCACTTTTGGGGTGGGGGATTGCACTGAAAACAATTAAATTTGTTGATGCTGATGCAAATGTTGTTCTATTTTACAATTGTTTCAATCCTAAAATAAAAACACAATGCAGACAACCTTATATTGCTAAATTAGTTACTATTCTTTAGTACTTCCCCTAGGGCCAGTGGCAATGTCATGTTCTCAACCCTTTAACCTGGGCTAAGGGAGAAGAAATGGAATGTAAGATTACTTGGGCCTTCATCCCAGGCCTCACCTTACATGAAAGTCACTCCTGCTAGACTTAACCAAGGTTAAGGGTTACATCAGTGCTACCCACAACCATGGCTAATGCTAACCAAGGTGCACAATGTATCGCCGTAATTCCCCCTCCCAACCTGCAGAGGCAGTCCAAGAGGACACCACGCTCCAGGGCTCATCAATGGAACACCAGCAGGTGCACACATACCTGCCAGTGTCTTCCACAAGGCTTCCAATAGGAGCCCAGAGCTTCCCCCTCAAGCTGCAGCAACTTTCCCAACTTCTGAAATTAGGCTTGGCAAAGGCTGCCTATTGTAGCCAACAGAACATTTTACGCAAGCCTAATTGCAGCATGGAGGTGTAGTGAGGGGAGATGCATCTGAGGGAGGCTTAGAATAAGGCTTTGATTGGCTTTAATAGGAGGTGAAGTGTCAATGGTGCCCACTGAGTTCTCCCTGTGCCCGTAAGCCCAGAAGAGCTGGCAACGCCTGCCAATGGTATCAAAAACTGTTGGCATGTCAAATTGATTATTGATCAATCGTATTATTGATCTATGGGTGCATTTTTCTAAACATCTGTGTATTCACACATTACCCAATGCATTAGATAGCCCAATTTGTCCACTAAAAGGCAATGGTACTGTGCTAATAACCTCACCCAAGTCAAGTTAAAGCACGTCCACTATGCCTCATATTATAGGAACAGAATGTTGTACTCAATATCATGTTAAAAGACACCCATGGTCCGTTTAAAAAGAATAGTAATAATAAGATCTAAGAGCAATGGGGTACCTTATGCAAAAGCATCAATGTCTGAATTACATGTTAAATTTACATGAATCTCCAAAGCAGCTGTTACATTCGAAGAAGGCTCCTTATCACAGCTAAGACATTGGATCTAATGCTATATTTCCACACAGCATTTAATATAGTACTCTCTTCTCCATTTTTATCCCACAACTTCTGTCTGGATTCTTTCTAAGAACCAAATGAACAAATGTTTTTGATAATGAAGAAAAGGCAAATGTGGTCGGGTCCATGCAGGGGCAGTAGGATGGGAATCAAACCACAGGCACAAACACCTTAATATTTTTATAAGTGTCCCTTTAAAATGTGTTAGTTCAAAGTGCAAACACATACAAGTTCCAAAGCTAAAGATAATAATTATGTCTCCTGATAATGTCACTACCTGCCTCATTCCCAAAGAAAAGTCTCCAAACAAGCAATTAGGTTGCAAATGACTGAAATTTTGGCTTATTTCGAGTATATAAGTGAGTATGTGTGTTTTAGATCTTTACATGCCAAAAATATATTAATTTTTTCTCGCATTAAATGAGGAATCCTGTCCTTCTAATAGAAAGAATCCTTTTTGGGCTGGCATAGTCTCTTGGGATAACCACAAACTTGAGAGGCATCAAAGCAGAAGTTGGACTAGACTTTTTGGCACCAACTATTCTCCCTACAGAGGCATCCCAGAGACACAATGACAGCACAATATGAGAAACCTTCAAAGCTGATGCAATGAACAACAGACATGTGACAACAACTGTCTATATGAATAGGAAAATATCCAGAACAGAATATATGTGCCAGAGAGGCTATATATTGCAAAGACACGGGGAGGGAAAATCTGTTTTCATACAGAGGAGTCCCTCTGGCTAGCACAAACTTTTGTGAAGCAACAACCAGACCACAAACTGAAACTGAAAGGTCAGAAACAGCACGAGGTCAAAGAGAATGCTCCATAACACAAAGGAACCATGGAGAAAAACAAGTGCTGTCCTGGCTTTGCTCACCTACAACGGTGCCCCGATATCACAATGCTTTGTGGAGATGAAACAAGACCTAGACTTGTTAAAGGGCTACTAAACCCAAAAGCACCATAGGAGAAGGAAGCAATAAACACTTACGCATGTGCTTAGCATTAGCTGCCTAGAGCTTCCCATAGATCTGCAGGAGGCCCATAGGTAGACGTGGAAACTGAAACAGCTACTTAAGCATCTGGACCAAAGATGACAATTTACTTACCACTATTGTGCCATGTACACGAACTACTATTTTTAGTGGTTAACAAATGAAATGATTCATCATTTAATAACCAGCAGCTCCTTTGGAACAGCCAGGCTACTTCCTTGAGTTTTGTGAAATACCGTATTTTTCGCCCTATAGGACGCACTTTTCCCCCTCCAAAAATGAAGGGGAAATGTGTGTGCGTCCTATGGGGCGAATGCAGGCTTTCGCTGAAGCCTGGAGAGCGAGAGGGGTCGGTGCGCACCGACCCCTCTCGCTCTCCAGGCTTCAGGAAGCTATCCGCAAGCAGCGGGAGCCCAGCGCTGGGCTCCCGCTGCTTGCGGAGAGTTGCCTGCATGCTGAAGCCTGCGCGTGCTCAGCTCAGCGCGTCCAGGCTTCGTGCACCTCTCCGCAAGCAGCGGGAGCGCTCCCACGGCTTGCAGAGAGCTGCCTGTTTGGGGGCTGGGGTTGGGGGAAGCTCGAGCTTCCCCCGCCCCAGCCCCACGCCTGGGGGGGAAATAATTTCCCCCCCTTTATTTCCCCCCCAAAAAACTAGGTGTGCCTATGGGACGGTGTGTCCTATAGGGCGAAAAATACGGTAGTTCACCAGCCCAGATAATCTTTCTCAGGATCATCTACTCACATGACAACGTTACAGGATCCAACCAAGGCCCTCACACAAGCACCTCTGCAGCACCATAACCATTCTTGCATTTGCAGCCAGATTGGCACCTCCAAGCGAGGGCTGTTCACACACAGGCATTTGCATGTAAACCAGACTTCAGCACAGTCTTTGCCAACCTGGTGCCCACCATAGGCTGTTGGACAACATCTCCCTTTTAGCCCCAGCCTATATGAGCATCCCTGCTAGGCTGGTGGCAGTTTCAATCTAACAATAATTGGGGGACATCACTTTGGGGGAAGCTTGGTTCAGTGGTTAGTGGTTTGAAGATGGCATTTTTTGAAACTGACCAGTGTTTGCTTCAAATTACATGTAAAATTAAGGTAACTCTTCTGAAGTCCTTTCCCAAGACTATAAATAAAATAAATATAATTTATTATTATTATTATTATTATTATTATTATTATTATTATTATTATTATGTGGAAAGGAGGGGAGACTACAGAAGCTGTAGGCTTCAGGCAGACTTTTTGCTCATGTACATGGTGCTTAAACTATGTGTTAGCGTAACATGAAGACATGGCCAGTGTGGTGATTTTGCATGATTAAAGGTAAAGGTAAAGGTACCCCTGCCCGTACGGGCCAGTCTTGACAGACTCTAGGGTTGTGCGCCCATCTCACTTAAGGGGGCCAGCGCTGTCCGCAGACACTTCCGGGTCACGTGGCCAGCGTGACAAGCTGCATCTGGTGAGCCAGTGCAGCACACGGAACGCTGTTTACCTTCCCGCCAGTAAGCGGTCCCTATTTATCTACTTGCACCCAAAGGTGCTTTCGAACTGCTAGGTTGGCAGGCGCTGGGACCGAGCGACAGGAGCGCACCCCACCGCGGGGATTCGAACCGCCGACCTTTCGATTGGCAAGTCCTAGGCTCTGAGGCTTTAACCCACAGCGCCACCCGCAGATTAAAGCAGCCTGTCAGTGTTTCAGACAGCCCCAGCATGGAGAAAGAAATTCTCAAAAAACGATGCCTCAATACAAAAGCTGTCATGCTTGCAGCTTCATCAGACCCCTACAGAGGCCTGGATTGTACAAACCGGGTTTCCTACGTGGCATCAACAGTTTTACAAGCTGCATCATGAGGAAGGGTAAGCCAGTTGTTTCGTAAGAATCAAACAAGGCGCTGGTAGGCAGAACTAGCGTTCTGAGAAAAAAGCCAGATTCCAGCCTTGGCCTGAAAGGAGTGGGGAATAAAATTAATTCCCCAGCCATTCTTCCAACTGGTTTTCAGGAAGGTGGGGCCAGAGAATGCTATGACTATTTCCACAACTAACACTCCACTAACCAGAATGTAAATGAAAAATAAAAAGCAGATTTTTAAAAAAAATGCCTTTCTTTCATTTCAAAATACCAGAGAAAACAAATAAAATTGCTGAATACTTTATCACTGAGGTGTAACGCAAGTTAAATACCTGTTATTGAACAGTAAACAATGTGAGGTGCAATCTTGTTAATGTCTTCATACCCCAGGCCCATTTCAGCCAGTTTCCCAGGGACATAATTCTCCACAAAAACATCACAAACAGCTGCAAGCTGGAAATAAAAAGGTGAGGATGAGTCAGACTCTTAATGAACTTCCAAAAGGTCAGCAACTTCACAATGTAATTTAATTTAAAATTTCAGTAAACAAGACAGTTCTAGCACTGCTGTGGTACCCAAGTCAAAAACCAAAAGAGCCTCGCTTAATTAAAATTTACAATCCTGCACGAATGCTTTTTACACCCTAGGCAATTACACAGCAGACATGATGTCTGCCTTAGAGGGGCAGATTCTCCAGTAAAATATTCAATATGTCAGATGTATGTTGCCACCATACGACTGTGGCAGTGAGCTGCCATAGGAGCTGTCTAGGCGTAACAAGGGGCAAAACCTACATTGTAATTGTCAGTTACTGTTTCAGGAACAGGTGCAGAAGAAACAGAAACATCAATTTACTTTGTTTTGCTGATAAAGCTGGTGATATTGTCAAAACACTTCATATATAGGGTATCTGTTTTAATGGTGTGTTGGCTCTTGGAGATCTGCAATTCAAAGACCTGAAATAATCAGCTGAACCCTTAAACAAGACTGTCGTATGGGAGACCATTCCTCCCCGGCTGGGGTGCAGACGAGAGGGACAGGGTGGAAGGGACAGGTAACAGCCTTGAGCAGGAGGTTACAAACACCTTCTATTTCCATATGCAGCTCTAGGGTCAACAGGTGCAAAGGTTCTTGGTCATTGCTAAAAGCAGGGATTGGGATTTTCAAGTTTGTTTAACTCTTCTTGAGAGTGAAACTGAAGTTTCAGAGCATATATTCACGACTTCTGAAATGAAAACCTCTACCCAAGTGCCTCAGAGGGGCAATGGGAAATCATCTTGCTGAGCTTTGTTAGTTTTTTTAAAAAAATATTAATATTGAATGGGGAAATGGCAACTTTCAATGTGGCATGTTTTCTCAAAAGTGCAGCTTCCTGAGCTACATGAAGCTTTATTCCCAAGTAAATAGGCACAGAATTCATGGGACTCCTGCCAGTAAATATGTGCAGGATTAGGCTGCATGGAAACAAATGGAACTGGATCTAGTCATGACTATCTTGCAATCCTAATGGTCAGTCATAGCTTTTCTAGATTGCATCTACAATGTATACAGTTCTTTTGAACTCTTGATATCAAGATATCCTGCTTTTTCTTCCGTGGCCAATATTATTCCATGCCTCTGATCATGCATAATTCATTTTATTTGTAAACTTTCCATAGTTCAAACCATACTCAAGGCACACTCAAACCATACTCAAGGCATACTCAAAGCAATGCCCCACCCCAAAAATCATCAGCCCCATTCAAATATGTCCTTATAAAATAGCATTTATATCTACCCAGAGCACACATGTCAACAAAGAGTTTGTGAGTATTCATTTATTGGAAAGGATGTTTCTATACTTGAGTACTTTAAGTATGAAACATAAACATTAGCTATACAGTGCATGCCTTCCTCGGATTTTGTACTATTTAGGCTGTGCAAAGTTCAGTTATTAACACATATTAACACTTGTGGCTCTACTTTTCTTCCTTCCCCCACTAAATATGTGCAATGAAGCTATACATCTAGGTTGTAATGAATTTGGGTTAGACCAAATGGGTTTTTGGGATCTCCTCCTGTGGATTATACAGCTGCAAGATTGGATTCTGTGGAAGAAGAGACAGGTAGCAAAGAAGCTAATTTCATCCTGTTACATAAACAGCCTAACCAGGTCTGTTAATTATCTAACTTGTAATGTAAACTAGGACAGTGAGTTGCCAGAGAAAAGAATAGCAGGATATCCTCCTGAATGTAAGCAGAAAAGGGCAAGCCTCACTGGCTGGAAGAGGTGTCAGCAAGGCTGAAAGACGGAAAAGGATAAAACAGACTGAGAGGCCGGACTCGCTCTCTGTTCCGGATCCAGTGCTCAGGTTTTGGAAAGCAAACCCATGGCCCCCAAGGCTAAGGGGGAAACAGATCCACAGAAGTGACCTTTCCTTCTTGTGCTCAGGCTGTACATATGATTGTATAAATAAATACTATAGTGCTGAAAAAGCCAGCAGTCTCCGGTGACCTTCATTGCAAGGAAATGAAACTCAAGGCCCTGGGACACTGAGACATTGAGATCTCTTACCCCTCAGAAACTGGGGTGCACTTGACAATATTATTTAGGATCAGCACCAAATAAGTTTTGAAGCCTGGTTCTGGCAGGGTACTGCCCTGACTGTGCCTCCTTTGGCATCTGAGATAGATGCAACAGCCATGTGTGTTGTCCATTATAAGAATGGGACTCCATCTCTCAGGGCTAACACAACCAATCCCACCAAAGCACTCTAGCACCCTACTATTGCAGGAACACGCTCCTATTTCCCATAGCCCAAATGCACTCTCCCCTCCACATAAGTAAAAGTACAAATATTAAGGTCAGATTTTGTTTAGAAGCAACCTGTTTTAGATTATTTTAAATTGGCCAAGAAATCATTTTTTGAAAAATATCATATATCTGGCTGATTAGTATGAATACACTGGAACTGGTTTCTGTAAACTGGTGTCATCATATCAGCAATCACAACCATTATTGCTGTAGCTTTTGTGATTGTTTAGCTACACTTAAGGCTAAAAAAGAAACCAGGCCAACAAATATGTTCTTCCATCAGAAGAACAGATGGGAACCTAAAACAACAGCACTGTACACCACTTAGGCAAAGCTTTGTTGCTGAAAGAAAAAGAACACATCCTTATGAGCTTTGTGCAGCCAGAGAATATCTTATGGATGTGAATCATGCTTGAATGAACAGCATCGCATGCAAGCGTAGAATGCCTATCGTTTACAATTACTCCACATTCTGATTTTTTTTATGTCATTCTTACATTTTGCAAGCTAGACTAAACTAATCAAATTACTGCAAAGCTAAGACAGTCGGAGAGAAAAATAGAATCACAGGTCAAAGCAAGAATGGTCAGGGTCAAATGAGTATTTGGCTGCTATCTTAGAAGCTGAGGAATTATTTTTTAAAAAATATCTATAATATTATTATTGCTTCCCAGAACATCTACTATTTAATGAGTTGATGGTGAATATATTTGACTGCTCCCATTTGGATTATTTCATCTGACTCTGTTGTGAAGGACAACTTGGATATATTTTGATACCGGTAGAAAAGTGATTTGTCCATTGGGGGCTTCTTGGGCTCTTCCCCTATGTCTGTGCCAGACCAGCAGCCAAGATGAATCAGCAACAGAGAAATACTATTTTGTGACAAGGTTCTGGAGCCTCCTTAATCATTTCAATCAAAATGGGGAAAGTTTCCCATAATTCAGAGACTGAAGAGTCTACAGATAAATAGGAAATTGACAAAAAGTGAAAAAAGAAACCAGATTATTTCTGTGGCTTCTGATCTATTTTCTTGCATGCCAAAGGCATTTTGTAATCTCTGCCAGAGCAAAAGAAAATGAAACTATCAGTTCTGCTTCCTTTCTTCCTAGTATTCAGCCTTTTCACCAGTGAACAAGCTCTCTGAAGCAATCAATCATTCCTTTTCAGCAAACACAGCAACGCTGCAGTGCTCTGACATCAAGCAACTAAACTGATGCAAAAAAATATGTCGTTCTGCTACATGTGTAGACTGACTTTCACATGTAGCTATGAAAAGCAGAAAAGACCGTGATGCCTTTGAGAAACTGAATCAGAAATGGACACATAGGCCTCTTTCAACAATGACTGAGGAAGTCCTCCTGATCTTAATTATCAGTTTTATTCATTCATTCATTCATTCATTCAATCCCAACTGTTTTTCCTTGACAGGAGTCAAGGTACAGGATAGAACCAGCACAATCTCTTTTCTCCTGCACCGCAAAGCCCAGGAATGTTTGCAACACCCTTGTTCATAGACATCTCCTGGGACACAGACTTCCCACCTGCCTGCCAGTCCATGCTCCACAACCTGTTCCAGGTGGTGAGAGGGCAGCAGGTGGAGACTGGACAGGTATTATAGTGCCTTGGAGCTTGGACGCTTCATACAAACAACATGACTAACAGCAACTGATAAGCCAATTCCCCACCATGAATGTCTCTAATCTCTCTTCGTAGCCATTTTAGCCAAAATACATCAGTGTATTCCACAAATTAAATTTCTTTTGTCTGTCTTGATTCAACTGCTAACTAATTAACTTCACTGGATGATTCCCAATTCTACTATAGCAAGAGAAAAACACACTCTCTATTCACTTTCTCAATGCTATTAATAACTTTCTAACACCTATCATGTAGAGCATGATCCTTTGCAAGTACACTTGGGAGTAAGTCTCGTTTAGTCAAGTGGGATTTGCTCCCAGGTAAATGGGTACAAGATTGCAGCTTACCTGGAAGCAAATTCCACTTGACTAAACGAGACTTACTCCCAAGTATACTTGCAAAGGATCATGCTGTTAACCACCTTTTTTCCTAAACTAAATAGCCCCAAACAACAAGGCATTCTCTAATAAGAAGGTGTTCCAGCCCTCCAAAAATGCTGGTTGCCCTCTTCCAACTCTATAATATCCTTTTTTAATGGGGAGAGCAAAATACCTATACTTGTTCCAAGTGTTTTCCCTCTTTCTAGAGAGCCCCCTGGAAATCTAATGGGACAGCAAGAGCTGTTGGGGTCGTTAATGCTGTGAGCCCTTCCATCCTGTGCTCAGATTGTGTAAATAAAACCCTATATCCTAAAGACACCACAGTCTAATTTCAAGTTCATTCTAAGGAAACTGAGCCCTGGTGGGAACCCCTGGAGTCCCTTGCCGCTCTGAGATTAGGGTGCACACAAAGATACCCGACAGTCCGTTTCCTTCACAGATGTGATATATTCAATAACAAAGGGTGAAATACAAAAACAGGACAGAGCAATGGGTGAAATCCATTTGGAACAGTCTCCTAAAGCAAAAGACATTCTGCTAGTGGCAGCCTCATTCTTAATGAGCCAAATCCAATGGGAGGCAGAATATTGCACAGTGCTACCATTTTATACTTCTGCTTGCACTACCACCTACATAATGGAAACTGTGTGCGCAACATGAACTTTCCCACATCTTGCCCTAATGTTACGCTGGATCTCACCCAGGATTTGTATTCACATGTTATAAAAGCAATTTCCCTGGGAAGTGCTCTTAATCTACAGGCTGCATAAATGAATCAGGGGTTTTTTTTTGTATTTAAAACATACCTCTTTAATTATCTTCGCTCCCTTAGGATTCTTCATATTAACAGCTATGCTCTAGTAATGGAGAAAGAATGCAATATTCTTAATAAGATTATAACAAGTTCCCATTGAATTGTTTTTGCTAAAACAAATAAAGTCAGCCCTGGTGCTTGTTTAAAGTACTAAACAGTTGCATCCAACAATTAATTTCTAAAACCGACAGTGATATAGGGGTATATGACAGGGATTGCACAGATGGAAGAAAAATGTTTCTCCATTTTTAAAATATTCAGCGGCAGCAGCTAGATAACCTTCTTACCTTTTTATTTCTGTTTACACTGAGAAAGTAAACACTTTCCATCCCAAGGAAGGGGGGTCCCCAGGATCTTGTATCATCTCCTGCTCCTGCAAATGATAATGCTCACGTGAGTGCGCTTCCAGAAGTTTCCTGCACCACAGTACAAATGGCAACTAACATACCCCATGTTCCTATTTCAAGTTCACCTTCAAATGTCTTCATCATCTGACAACCATGGTTGCCCTTTAATCTACTACTGAAAAATGGTAAAACTCAACGAGGACCTAATTTTATTTCAGCAAAACAGAAGTATTCCTTCTGCACTTGAATACGGATAACTTTGGGGGATGAAGACGAGCAGAAGGAAAAAGAGAAGAAACTCTGACCCTGGCAGCTTAGCTTGCTAGATTTCAACTGTGGTTTTAAAAAGCTCAAAAGGTTCTGTCTACTGAACCTCTTGCCCCCTGGATCCCTTCGCTCACCTTCCTTTCCTGTGGGCAAAGTGGCAACAGAGCAAGAGGCAGAAAGGATACACTTCCTCTTCCACCACCTCAGAATTTTTAAAGGTATAGGCATTATTACCTCCTGCAGAACTACTTCTCTCTGGCCACTTACTAGTGAGTAAGTCCCACTGAACAGTGCTTTATTTCTGAATAAATATGCTGAAGAATATGCTGCCAACTGTAGTGCTGGTGCACAAAGACAAACAGTATCGCTTGCATCTCATGCTAAGTGGGAGGGGGGGACAGTGGCCTGACTGTTCCTTTCTCAGGAGTAAGTCCCATAGACCTCAACGGGGTTTGAGCAGTCATGTGAAGGATTGCAATGCACGTATATGCTATGACCTGATTTGGAAACCTTTACTTGGGAAATTTGAAAACTTAGGAAGACCTTGAGAAAAAAACCTCAGTATGTGTTATCTTAGAATTAATTATTTTCTCCTTTTTCCTGACCCCCTTAGCAAGGTAAATTCAACAAGTTTTGCCATTCATCAAATGGCAGAATGTAGAAAGAACTGAGAACAAGGAATTCCAATAGTGACTATATTCACACACCATGGTAAGCCACTGTTGACGGTTTGCAATGAATGTGCAAATCACTGCCCCTTTCCTTCTCCCCACTACTGAGCAGCAGCAACAAACTACAATCCTTGGCTTAGTGGGTCAAATCTGGCTCTCAGGCCCTGGGACCATCAACAGTCCTCCAGAGCTCTCTATCTGACTTAAGCCCCATCTCTCGCCAGTCCTGTTTCCCACCCTCCTTGAATGCTTTTGCCTCAACAGGCAAAAATATCCTTGAGCTCTTGTCTGGAGGGAGGACGACAAGAGGTGTGTGGACGGCATTTGTTTTTTCCTAAACAAATGACGAGACATTAGGCACAAACCTTGGCTTCAGACTGTGGTTTGCTTGAAATGAAACACAAGTGCTGGTTCAAATGTAATACTAAGCCAGCTAGTCCGTGATCTGCCTTCTCACTGAAGGAAGGGAACAGCAAAGCAGGAGCACTGATCCACAGCCTGATTTGCTTAACCATAGTCTACTGCTATGGGATGCGGGTGGCGCTGTGGGTTAAACCACAGAGCCTAGGACTTGCCGATCAGAAGTTCGGCGGTTCGAATCCCCGTGATGGGGTGAGCTCCCGTTGCTCGGTCCCTGCTCCTGCCAACCTAGCAGTTCGAAAGCACGTCAAAGTGCAAGTAGATAAATAGGTACCGCTCCGGCGGGAAGGTAAATGGCGTTTCCGTGCGCTGCTCTGGTATGACAGAAGCAGCTTAGTCATGCTGGCCACATGACCAGGAAGCTATCTGCGGACAAACGCCGGTTCCCACGGCCAATAAAGCGAGATGAGCGCCACAACCCCAGAGTCGGTCACGACTGGACCTAATGGTCAGGGACCCTTTAGTCTACTGCTTAGCATTGTGTCAAACTGTGGCCAAGGTTGCTCTGGATTCCATAGTATCCAAGAACTGTTGGCCCTTAAATATGAAAAGCTTCCTCACCCCTTTGCTATGCCAGAAGGCTTCGTCTGCTGATTTCTGCAATTGAAGTTGAAGTAGGCCTTGCCGACAAAGGTCCGTATCGTTGAAGCCATGGTTTTCCCAGTAGTGATGTATGGAAGTCAGAGCTGGACCATAAAGAAGGCTGATCACCGAAAAATTGAGGCTTTTGAATTATGGTGCTGGAGGAGACTCTTGAGAGTCCCTTGGACTGCAAGAAGATCAAACCTCTCCATTCTGAAGGAAATCAGCCCTGAGTGCTCACTGGAAGGACAGATCCTGAAGCTGAGGCTCCAAGACTTTGGCCACCTCATGAGAAGAGAAGACTCCCTGGAAAAGACCCTGATGTTGGGAAAGATGGAGGGCACAAGGAGAAGGGGACGACAGAGGACGAGATGGTTGGACAGTGTTCTCGCAGCTACAAACATGAGTCTGACCAAACTGCGGGAGGCAGTAGAAGACAGGAGTTCCTAGTGTGGTCTGGTCCATGGGGTCACGAAGAGTCGGACACAACTAAACGACTAAACAACAACAACAGGCCTGGTTGGGTTTGTTTCTGTTTTTTGGGTCAGTTCTCAACCCTACAAGAAAAGCCTTTGGGGGATGCAGGAACTGCAGAATAAGTTTTCTCCTGGTTCATGGCCAATATTTAATGCTGTGATGAAAGCTCTGCAGTTCATTATGTTGGTAAATACAACACATTTATCTCCGGGACCAAGAACAGACCCAGTCTGATGCAGAAGATAGAAAATCAGAACTGATCTATATGTTACAGATCTCCTTTGTCTGTACTACTTCAGAAGGCAGGTTGGTGGTTACATATCAAGGATGAAACTCAACAGGAGGTTCTCTGATGTTGTAGCTTTCCAACACCAGTTGGGCTCTGGTGTGGGGAACTATTTATGCATCTGTATTTTTCTTCTGAAATGGCAGAGACTCAGAGGCCCATACCATGTTTTTCCCACCTCACATCGAATACCCTATGCAAGCACGCAGATCCTTAGCCCTGTGACTAGGAGACTGGGACTGCTAACTATATGATAATAAATAGATATTTTGCACAAGAATTCTCCTGCAATAAGTGGAGCTACAAATGGATACACATGATATGAGGTAAGTTCTTACAGTGACCAGTTAGACATCTGGAGCTCCGATAAGCAACACATGTGCAATTAACATGCCAAAGCAAGAGGTTTCACTAAAGACAGATGCAAAACCAGGTGCTGTGTTTTCTTTTCAGAGGTCACAAGAGTGTTCCTGCAAGGCTCTCTTGCCTGGGAAGCAGGACTAGGAAATAAAGCACATACAAAAGATGTGTTTCTGGTGCAATAAAGCACAAAGTAAGAACGATTAGCTTGTAAGGCCTAATAACAAAAGCAACATCTTTATCAGCGACATCATCAGTTTAGCTAACGTATCTCTGAACCGAACATTTGTAACTAGTCTGGGGCCTGCAGTTACTTCAGTCAGATTAACGCAGCAACGCTAACAGCAATTAGATTCTAAATTGTGCCTCACAACACTTTGTCTTTGGCATGCAGTGTAGGATGCGTCTCAAAGACAAAAATATAAAATTACAACAGTACCTCTGGTTGCGAACGAGATCCATTCCGGATCTGAGCAGAACACAACCCGCGTCTGCGCGAGTCGCGATTCGCCACTTCTGCGCATGCGCGCGACGTCATTTTGCGCATCTGCGCACATGCTAGCGTCGAAACCCGGAAGTAACCCATTACATTACTTCCGGGTTGCGGCAGGACGCAACCTGAAAACTCTCCATCTGAAGTGTCTTTAACCCGAGGTATGACTGTATGCTCAAAATCAATTTAATTTTTTTTTGTACTCGAAACACGCATGCAACTTGCTGAGTTACACTTCAGTTCTTCAGCAGGCAGAACAGAGGGGGGGGGCCGTCTTCAGGCATTCAACGGCTGGGGGCTGCCATCCCCTCTTCCCTAGACCTTTGTGTCTAGGGCACGAGATTTGGAGCAAGATCCAAACCTGGAGGGAGGATTCCGTTAGTTGAACCTAGATAGAAACCTCGCTTCAGGCAGGAACTTTTTGTGCGCACAGGTTCCTGAGGGTGGGGAGGATTCTAGCTGCTTTCAGTTGAATGCAGTCAGCATCCCCCTTCAGACCTTTGTGCTAAACACAAAGAGAGGAAGGTGTGGGGTCAGCCCACACTCACAGTTGAGCCGTCATGTGTTCTTTGGAAAGCATTTGTAAACCTATATTTTATTACATTTGTAAAATCCCACCATCCTCGTAGGTTTGGGATTTTCACCTTCATAACAACCTGCCACCTTTCTCCTATTCGCAGTAACCCTGCGAGGTGGATTAGGCTGAGAGTTAGTAGTTGTCCCCAAGTCACACAGTTCAGCAGGAAACTGAAGCAGGGTCTCCCCAGTGTGAGCCCAACACTTCAACCACAATACCACCCTGGTACTCTTGCCAGGGTCTTGCAGAGCCAGGCAGAGGCCCGGGCCAGGTAGATAATGTGCCCCCCCTTTTTTTTACCCTGGGGATAACTGAAGTCTTATAAATAAGTAAGTATATAAATAATTTTCACAAAAGTTATGCTGACAAATAATTTTATTTGCGTTTGCCCAGTGCATCCCCTGTGATTGTGAATATGCTGACCGAGGCCCCCTTTGGAATCGGAGGCCCGGGCCAAGTGGGCCATATGCCCCCCCCCTCTGTCTGGGCCTGACTCTTGCTTCACTTCAGACAAGATTACCACTTTAAACCTCTTCGTAGTAAAGTGATGAGATGCTATGGCAACCTGCCACTGCAACCTGCCAGTCTTAGGAGAAGCAGGGTTTCAAAATAAAATAATAATAATAATAATAATAATAATAATAATAATAATAATAATAATACATTATTTGTGACAAGTCTACCATCTATCTACTCTACTGTGTAGTTTCAAGTTATGAAACTAAACATATTTGCTTCATAACTAGGAACACAGAAACTGCCTTATGTCAAGTCAATGGTCCATCTAGCTCAGCATTGTCTACACTGACTGTAGACTGTACTCTTCAGAGTTTCTGGCAGAAATCTGTTCCAGTCCTACTTGGAGATGCAGGGGACTTGATCCTGGGATCTTCTATGTGCAAAGCAGGTGTTCTTCCAGTGAGTTACAGCACTTCCCTGCCTTTCCCCTTAATTTAGCTGATTTTAGAATGTTGGCTAATGCACCATCTTGAAGTAAAAGATATTGGCTACCATCTAAATAGTTAAGCAATACCTAAATCCATTGAAATTAAAGGTCTTAAACACACTTAGCTCTCCATGTTGGGACTCTGGCCATTACGTGTGTAATATCGCTGTTTCTCTGAGACTCCTACAGCAATGCCAAAAAAGATTTGGCTCAGGAAAGCGGGAGATTAAGTAACTATACCTGGCTTTTCCACTTTAATAACTTCAGCTCCAAGGTCTCCCAGATTCATGGTGGCAAAAGGTCCCGCAAGTACTCTGCAATGTTAAATTGTGATAATTGTTAGTCACTACGCTGCGAAGCTTTAAGAATTGTTCTGAGCTACAGACAGAAGAAACACAAACCTTGTTAGATCAAGAATTCTCACGCCATCCAGTGGCTTCACACTATCTGCACCTGCTTATAAACAGAGAAAAGAATGATTAGAACCATCAGTTATTTATAAAGCTGCTGTTCCATTGTGGAAAACTTTGCACCTTCCTCAACATGGTTTTGCCATTCCTATGCACAGAACATGTGTGCCGACACCTCTGACTTTTGCATGGCTGGAATGCAGCTGACTGTACAAAATTTCCCATCCCTGGTATAAGGGCAGATATGTTTAAGATTTAAGAATCATCACTGGCTGCTCTTTGCATTTATTTTCCCTTTTAAACACAACCCCAACCTGCCAACTGAGGATAACACGCATCTGATGAAGTGGACTAGATGAAGCAAGATGAGCCTTTGAGTGGATTTAACCGTTCAGGGGTCATTACTTTTACATTAAATGTTAGATGTTTATAGAAGCGTGCAAATCATCTTTTGCTTTTGGCTTCTTTTTAAACTGAAGCTGAAACCTTGAAGACTAAATATTCAATAATACAAAGGGGAATAATGAATGGGGAGGTGGGGACAGATTTAACTTAATTCAAGATTCATGGATTAGTAATAAGACCAACACGTGACCGGAAGTGTCTGTGGACAGCGCTGGCTCCAGCTATAGAGTGAAGATGAGCGCACAACCTAGTGTCTGTCAAGAGTGGGCCGTACGGGCAGGGGTACGCTTTACCTTTACCTTTAAATAAGACCAACAGATGAAAAGGAAATGGGAGTGGAAAGAAAATGGGAATACAGTGGTACCTTAGGGTTACACACACTTCAGGTTACAGACTCCGCTAACCCAGAAATAGTACCTCGGGTTAAGAACTTTGCTTCAGGATGAGAACAGAAATTGCGCAGCAGCGCAGCGGCAGCGGGAGGCCCCATTAGCTAAAGTGGTGCTTCAGGTTAAGAACAGTTCAGGTTAAGAACGGACCTCCGGAACGAATTAAGTTCTTAACCCGAGGTACCACTGTAAAAGAATCAGGTTTGCATTAAAGAAATAGAGAAGCACTGACTTTGGGTCTGTAGTCACTACTTTCCTGTTGAGACTCTTTCCGGCACTGCTTCTGTGGCAGATGCAGACAGAAATGTGGAGAGTCTATAAGGCCAATGCCAAAGGATGTGTTTTACTTGCATAAAGTTCAGTCTCTGGCACCTGCAGTTGGAAGGACTAACTACAATGGTACCTTGGTTTACGAACTTAATCCATTCCAGAAGTCCGTTCTTGAACCAAAGTGTTCTTAAACCAAGGCGTGCTTTCCCATAGCAGCAGGGACTCCATTTACAAATGCAACACACTCAACAGAAAGCGAAACATGTTCTAATTCCAAGGCAAAGTTCACAAACCAAAACACCTGCTTCCAGGTTTAAGGCGTTCTTAATCCAAGTTGATCATAAACTAAGTTGTTCTTAAACCAAGGTACCACTGTATATCGGTGGGTCAAGAGTCCACAAAGATCAAGCCAATGAATAACATACTTGGAATCTACCCTTAAACTAGGGACGGTGAAACTAGGGACATTTAGATGTTACAGGACTACAACTGTCATCATCCTTGACGCTGGGCCATCTTGGATGGGGCTGCTGAGAGCTAAAGTCAAACAACATTGGGCAAGGAGGAGTGGAGGCAGATTAACCATCCCTGCCTTAAACCTTTAATGAATTCTCTGTCTGAGGGGTGGGCAAAGTGTTCTGAAGGTCGTCTGCATTATAAGAGATCTGCATCATAATTCTCTGTTAAGGTCGTGGCTTTACCACATTATTCAATGCAATAGCCCAGCAATGTCCGGCTGGAAGTAAACCCATGTGAATTCAGTGGGACTTCTTAGTAAGACTGGGATCTTACTAAGCTCAGCAGTAATTTACCTATGAGAAAACAATAATGGGTGAAGTCTTTTTTTGTTGTTGTTCCTACAGGCTTTTGGAAATTGACAGCTTTTAACGAAAGGGCTGGTGCATTGCTGCTTTTACTGCAATGTTTTATACGGTTTTAATATATTTTCTAAATGTATAGGGTTTTACTTCTATCAGTGCTTAGTTGCTTCTTAAATATTGCTTTTTTCTGTTCTATTTTTTATATGCAAGCTGTCCTGAGTCCCTTAATCAAAGAACTCTAGAACTGTAAGGGGCCATGAGGGTCATCTAGTCCAACCCCCTGCACTGCAGGAATCTTTTTCCCAATGTGGACCTCGAACCCATGACCACGAGATTATGAGTCTCGAGCTCTACCATCTGAGCTATCCCAGACTCAATATATCTAATATGTAATAACAACAGCAGAGCACAGAATGGGCTGCTTTCCAAGAAAGCCGTGGCTGTGGCTGCAATCCTGTGCCCACTTACCCACGTGTAATCCTCAACGAATTCAACAGGGTTTCGAACTGGATGGGGGAGCTGCGTGCCGAGATTCCCGCAATTCAGGGGGTTGGACTAGATGACCTGGAGAAGAGTGACTAGTGGGGTGCCACAGGGTTCTGTCTTGGGCCCGGTCTTATTCAACATCTTTATCAACGACTTGGATGATGGACTCAAGGGCATCCTGATCAAATTTGCAGATGACACCAAACTGGGAGGGGTGGCAAACACCCCAGAGGACAGGATCACACTTCAAAACGACCTTGACAGTTTAGAGAACTGGGCAAAAACAAACAAGATGAATTTTAACAGGGAGAAATGTAAAGTATTGCACTTGGGCAAAAAAAATGAGAGGCACAAATACAAAATGGGGGACACCTGGCTTGAGAGCAGTACATGTGAAAAGGATCTAGGAGTCTTGGTTGACCACAAACTTGACATGAGCCAACAGTGTGACGCGGCAGCTAAAAAAGCCAATGCAATTCTAGGCTGCATCAATAGGAGTATAGCATCTAGATCAAGGGAAGTAATAGTGCCACTGTATTCTGCTCTGGTCAGACCTCACCTGGAGTACTGTGTCCAGTTCTGGGCACCACAGTTCAAGAAGGACACTGACAAACTGGAACGTGTCCAGAGGAGGGCAACCAAAATGATCAAAGGCCTGGAAACGATGCCTTATGAGGAACGGCTAAGGGAGCTGGGCATGTTTAGCCTGGAGAAGAGGAGGTTAAGGGGTGATATGATAGCCATGTTCAAATATATAAAGGGATGTCACATAGAGGAGGGAGAAAGGTTGTTTTCTGCTGCTCCAGAGAAGCGGACACGGAGCAATGGATCCAAACTACAAGAAAGAAGATTCCACCTAAACATTAGGAAGAACTTCCTGACAGTAAGAGCTGTTCGACAGTGGAATTTGCTGCCAAGGAGTGTGGTGGAGTCTCCTTCTTTGGAGGTCTTTAAGCAGAGGCTTGACAACCATATGTCAGGAGTGCTCTGATGGTGTTTCCTGCTTGGCAGGGGGTTGGACTCGATGGCCCTTGTGGTCTCTTCCAACTCTATGATTCTATGATTCTATGATTCTATAGGGGACGCGGGTGGCGCTGTGGGTAAAAGCCTCAGCGCCTAGGGCTTGCCGATCGAAAGGTCGGCGGTTCGAATCCCCGCGGCGGGGTGCGCTCCCGCTGCTCGGTCCCAGCGCCTGCCAACCTAGCAGTTCGAAAGCACCCCCGGGTGCAAGTAGATAAATAGGGACCGCTTGCTAGTGGGAAGGTAAACGGCGTTTCTGTGTGCGGCTCTGGCTCGCCAGAGCAGCGATGTCACGCTGGCCACGTGACCCGGAAGTGTCTCCGGACAGCGCTGGCCCCTGGCCTCTAGAGTGAGATGGGCGCACACCCTAGAGTCTGTCAAGACTGGCCCGTATGGGCAGGGGTACCTTTTACCTTTACCTTTACCTTATGATTCTATGACCCTCGGGCTCCCTTCAAACTTTACCAGGCTGTGATTCTGCGATACTTCTGAGTAGACCTGGGCTTGCCTGTGTTTGTGTGCGCCACTCTCCTCAGTGAACTGCGTGAGCACCATAGCTGTCAACTTTTCCCTTTTCTTGCGAGGAATCCTATTCGGAATACAGTGGTACCTCGTGTTAAGTACTTAATTCGTTCCGGAGGTCCGTTCTTAACCTGAAACTGTTCTTAACCTGAAGCACAACTTTAGCTAATGGGGCCTCCTGCTGCTGCTGCACCGCCGGAACACAATTTCTGTTCTCATCCTGAAGCAAAGTTCTTAAACTGAGGTATTATTTCTGGGTTAGCGGAGGACTGTAACCTGAAGCGTATGTAACCCAAGGTAAGGGAATTTCCCTTTTAAAAAGGGAAACGTTGACAGCTATGGTGGGCACACGCTTCCTCGGCTTGGACCGGGAGGGGGGCAGCTGCTTCCCTCAAACTTTGAATCTCCCAGCCCCCCACTTTTTTTTCTCTTGAGGGCACGCGCCGGGCGCGCCCCCGACCCCCGCAGCCCCCCCCCGGCTCCGCTGCATCTGAGAAGCGTAAAAGCGGCTACCTGGAGGGAGGCGGCAGCTTCCGCGCCGCTGCCCCCGGGAGGGGAGCCTGGCGGGCGGCGAGGGGCGCAGCAGGCGCCGGCTCCCCGGCCCAGAGCAGCGCCCAGCATCCCTGCGGAAGCAGCCCGGGCCAGGGCAAGGCTGCGAAGCCACCAGCTGCACCAGCAGCACCAGCAGCAGCGCCCACTTGGGCAGAACTTCTGGACTCTGGCCCCAATTTCCCCGCCGCGTGCGCCTCCCGCGCAGCCGCCCTGCGCGCTCCAGGCTCCACTCGGCTGGGGAGGGAGAGGCGGAGGGCGCAGGCGCAAAGGGACACCCCCCCCCTTGCCCCCATCGTCGTTGTTATGCGTTTGTTTATACCCCGCCTCCCCCCCCCCAGACGGCTTACAGATAACAAACAAAAAAATTCCTTCCAGTAGCACCTTAAAGACCAACTAAGTTAGTTCTTGGTATGAGCTTTCGTGTGCATGCACAGAAATAACCTGTGCAGGGCCAGATTTTAGGTTTGATGAGGCCCTAAACTACTGAAGACAATGTGGCCCTTTGTATGTCCAGCTGTCCTTTGTCCACAACAAATTGTCGCTGTTTTTTTGTGTTGTATATATGCTATATGGTAATTTATGGACCCAATAGGTATCTAAAGCCATTTGCACATGCATAATGTAGGCACCCTATATATAGAAATGAGCAAACCGGTGATATTTTAGGGAGCAGGCTAGCAGGCCAGGCCCCATTACTTATCAGGCTTCCTCAACCTCGGCCCTCCAGATGTTTTTGGACTACAACTCCCATGATCCCTAGCTAGCAGGACCAGTGGTCAGGGATGATGGGAATTGTAGTCTCAAAAACATGCGGAGGGCAGAGGTTGAGGAAGCCTGGCTTACATCATAGGAGCCAACACAAAACTATTGTGTAGGTTTCATTTTTTATCTTATATTTTGGTTTCATTTTTTATCTTATATTTTGGAAATGTACATCCATTTTTTCCCCTTTAAATTTTTTTGGGGGCCCACAAGAGTGGGGCCCTAAGCTTACACGTAAACCCGGCCCTGCCTCTGTGCATAGCGAAGCCGCATGCTTGCAAATGGGGCCTCCGCCTCCCCTTCAGCTCCACCTCAGGGACCGCCAAGGCGGCGAGCGAGGGCCGGAACCATGTTTCGCGCGGAACGTTGGTGCCGGGCGCGGTTGCGGGCGGGGCCGAGGGACGGCGGATCTTCCTGCGGCCGCTTCGCGGGAGCCCCGCCCCCCGGAAGGCCTCCCGCGGGTCGTCCGCCGCCGGCTGCCGCCATGTACCGGCCGGGCTTCCGGCCCCCCACGCCCCCCTGCTCCGGCGGCTTCCGCGGCCCCCACCCGGACAGAGGCGGCGGCCCTCCCTTCCCGGGCTCCCCTCAGGGCTACGGGAGCCCCCGGCACACGCCCCCCTACGGGCACCGCGCGCGGCCCTACGACTTCGGGGGCCCCTCGCCGCGCAGGCCCCTTAGCGCCAGCCCCGCCGGCGGCGGCTACGCTCCCTACGGCGGGGGCGGCAGGTCCCCCGGAGGAGGAGGAGCCTTCCAGCAGCAGCAGCAGCCGCCGCCGCCTTTCAAGCAGCGGCACTCCGGGGGCTTCCGGAGATTCAGCCAGGTAGGGAAGCAGCCGGGTCCCACCCCATGGCTGCGGGGGGTGGGTGGGCTGGATGACCCTCAGGTGCCCTTTCCAACTCTGCCATTGGAAGAATAGAACTGAGGAAAGGGGTCCCGATTTACGTATAAGCTAAATAAGCTATATAGGGCCCCACTCTCTTGATCCCCCCCCAAAAAATTCACTATTAATATAAAAAGGTAAAGGTACCCCTGCCCGTACGAGCCAGTCTTGACAGACTCTAGGGTTGTGCGCCCATCTCACTCAAGAGGCCGGGGGCCAGCGCTGTCCGGAGACACTTCCGGGTCACGTGGCCAGCGTGACAAAGCTGCATCTGGCGGGCCAGCGCAGCACACGGAAACGCCGTTTACCTTCCCGCCAGTAAGCGGTCCCTATTTATCTACTTGCACTTAAGAGTGCTTTCAAACTGCTAGGTTGGCAGGCGCTGGGACCGAGCAACGGGAGCGCACCCCGCCGCGGGGATTCGAACCGCCGACCATGCAATCGGCAAGTCCTAGGCGCTGAGGTTTTACCCACAGCGCCACCCGCGTCCCTACTATTAATATACTTCTTCCTAATTCTATTTCAGTTCAACAATTGCTTTGATAAAATACATACATTGTTATGCGCAAATGGCTTTAGATACCTGTTAGGTCCATACATTTGGACCTAAAACAGTGGACCCTCCAGTTTTGTACCGCTCTGGTTTTGTTACTTTCAGGTTACAAACCCAGAAAACGTTCGCAGAAGCGGCACCTCTAGTTACACAGACCCCTGGAACGAGTTCAGTTCGTATCTGGAGGGTCCACTGTGTATTCATTCAACACAAAAAACAGCAACAATTTGTTGTTGACCAAGGACAGCTGGACATTACCTTCAGTAGCTTAGGGCCTCATCAAACCTGAATCTGGCCCTGCCGAGGTCATCTAATCCAATCCCCCTGCCATGCAGAAAAATCTCAGCTGAAGCATCCATGCCCGATGGCACTCACCCAACTTCTTCCTAAATATCTCCAAGGAAGGAGAGTCCGCCACCTCCCGAGGGAGACGGTTTTGCAAATTGGTGACAAATCATCTGCAGCCTGGTTACTAGAGAGGAGAAACTGAATGCAGTACAATATCTGGCAAGCTGGTCAATTCCAAAGTTTTGCGTTGTTTTCTAAATGCAAGTAAAATAAATGTGTTGAATTCGATCCCTCTCTTGGTGGCTATCGCGTGGCCCTCCAGATGTGGAGCACAGCTCCTATCATTCCTGGGAGTTTGAGTTCCAACCGCACTCCTGTGCTGAGACATCAGACAGTTTTCTGATACAAACAGAAAATTTTCCAGTTAAAGATTTTCTGAAAAATACGTGTTACTGGCCATTGCAGGCCCAGGTTGCCACAAAAGTCTTGGAGGCAAGTGTTGGCTCTTTACACCAAGAGCCAAGTAAGAAAAATCATTTTATTAGACCAACTGATAAATGCAAGTTCTAAATTTTAGGAAATACTAAATAGGTTTGAAATCAAACCTAACCAGTGGTGCTTAGTAATATATTAACAAAACAAAAATGAACTCATAAGCAGGAGCTGCTATAATTGGATTAAAACATGTGCTTGTTTTCCAAACCTGCCAAATTAAGACACTGTTAATTTAGCAAGACTGGGAAGAAAATTGATGAACTGGTGAAAGTTTGTTGTTTGAAAATTAAGTGCTCCTAGTTCAAAATGGGAAACGTAGTTTCTGAGACTAAAACAGCTATATTCCACTGATTTATATAGAACATAATCCACTCCCTAGGGACGTGGGTGGCGCTGTGGGTAAAAGCCTCAGCGCCTAGGGCTTGCCGATCGTCAGGTCGGCGGTTCGAATCCCCGCGGCGGGGTGCGCTCCCGTTGTTCGGTCCCAGCGCCTGCCAACCTAGCAGTTCGAAAGCACCCCCGGGTGCAAGTAGATAAATAGGGACTGCTTACCAGCGGGATGGTAAACGGCGTTTCCGTGTGCGGCTCTGGCTCGCCAGAGTAGCTTCGTCACACTGGCCACGTGACCCAGAAGTGTCTCCGGACAGCGCTGGCCCCCAGCCTCTTGAGTGAGATGGGCGCACAACCCTAGATTCTGTCAAGACTGGCCCCTACGGGCAGGGGTACCTTTACCTTTACCTTAATCCACTTTGTGTGGATTCATAGAATCTAAAATGGATACCTTTACCTTTACCTTTAAAATGGATACTTAGGTTATGAGCTTTCTACCTAGAATGTATCTAACTTGTATAATACAGTCATACCTTGGAAGTCAAATGGAATCGGTTCAGGTAGTCCGTTCGACTTCCAAAACATTCGGAAACCAAAGCATGGTTTCTGATTGACTGCAGGAAGCTCCTGCACCTGAGAGAGCATATGCGTGGGTCTTTCCAAACCTGAATTACACAAATGTTGCATTCAAAGCCCAGTTGGCTGCTTGCTATCATCCCCACAAATTGTATCCAACAGGCTGTTTACAAGGCTTACACCACACACAGGGATTTATCAGCCTTCCCTCCCACTGCAGCCTCTTGTGCCTCCATCGGAATCAGGGTACCCTTGAAGCAATATGAGATTGTCACAAGCTGTACCTGGAAATGGAAATTGAAATGCCACGGCACTGAAAGCCCTTGAGTATCTTTGAAAACCAGCCAATTTGTTTTGAAGGTTAAAAGATGCAGCTGTTTATAACCTGTACTTGCTTTGATACAGACTTACTATTTGCACCTTCTGTAGTCACAGAATTTACACTATACAGTGGTACCTCGCAAGACGAACGCCTCGCAAGACGGAAAACCCGCTAGACGAAAGGGTTTTCCGTTTTGGAGGCGCTTCGCAAAACGAATTTCCCTATGGGCTTGCTTCGCAAGACGACAGCCCATAGGGAAATATCCGGGACAGCGGGGAAGCGCAGCGCGTCTTCCCCACTGTCCTCGGACCTCCTCCGAAGCCTGGCGGCGGGGCGGGGACACCTCCTCTCGCCGCCGCCGGGCTTCGGAACGATGCCCCGATGCCGGGCGGCGGGGCGGGAACCTCTCCCCCCGCCGCCCGGCATCGGAACGAGGTCCTGGACCTCTTCTGAAGGCTGGCGGGGGGCAAAAGTCTTTGTCCCCCCTGCCTGCCTTCCCAGGGGCTTTTAAATCGCCCCGGACAGCGGAGAAGTCCTCCGCTGTCCCGGGGCAATTTTAAAATGCCACCCGCCAGCATTTTAAGATCGCCTCGGACAGCGGAGAAGTCCTCCGCTGTCCCGGGGTTTTTTAAAATGCTGGGGGTGGGAAGAAAAGCCCTTGTGTGTCCCCCCCCCCCAGCCTTCAGAAGAGGTCGGGGGACAGACTGTCCCCGGACCTGGTCTGAAGGCGGTTTCCCTAGGAACGCATTAATTGATTTTCAATGCATTCCTATGGGAAACCGTGCATCGCAAGACGAAAAACTCGCAAGACGAAGAGACTTGCGGAACGAAGTAATTTCGTCTTGCGAGGCACCACTGTATTATGTTCTAAGACAAACAAAATACAAATTACCACAGCACTTTAAAACATCTGTTTACACGGACAGCTACTGATTAATCTATACAAAATAAACTTGTTTTAAAAGAAAAACAATAACTTAGCTGGTCTTGAACACCTTCTGAAAGCTCGGCATCTAATTAGACTGTTTACTCCTTTTCCTCACGGCTTTTCTCTCAAAGGGATCACCCAGGACATCTACCCCATTGGGAACACCACATGGTAGAGAGAAAAGAGTGTCTAATGATGATGTGGAAAACTATTACAAACCTTCAATGCTTGAAGACCCCTGGGCTGGCCTAGAGCCCGTATCCGTTACGGATGTTAACCAGCAGTACAGCAGTGAGCAAACCACATACACTGGCAAAAAGGGGAGGTATTTCAGTTAACATTTATGCAAGTGAAAAAACAACTGTGAGAAAACTGGGCCCAAAGTTCATACGTAAGATGGCAAGTAATAAAGAACTTAGAAAATGCTTTTATTTGAACTGACCATATGGAAGTGGGACATCAGCCTATGGAAAGCAAAGTATTCTTTAGTCACCAGCAAATCAGTCTGTGTCAGTTTCTTATATTCATCTCTTCCATGCCATATTATACAGTATTAAGCTGAGAAAGTGGTATATTTTAGGTTTGAACATTTTTAGAACAAAGTTTTAAAATAAAGTAAATGTTTTGTAAAACTCACAAATGCTTTACTACTTTTTGTTAAGTCATACCAGAGGTAATGCTATTGAAATTTCTTGCGGCCTGTAAATACAAGCAGGTTACAGAAGCTATTACACAATATCTGCTAAAATTGTTTAACATTAGAATTGCCAATCTTGCAACCTCTTCTGTTCAGAAAGTCATCTATACCTATATATTTTCGTATTGAAAAATTCTATTTCGGAACAAAACTTTACTATTTTGTAACAAAAGACCACCTTATAAAAATCCATGTTGAACCTGCATACAAAAATTACCTTATTTAAATAAGCCACTAAGTAGAACTGGGTAAACCTAGGGGCAAGTAGGTTTTGTGCACCTGATAAATACACTGCTTCTGTCAGTTTTTCAAATGTCACCTTTTGTTAGGACTTTTATTTAGGAGTACAAGATGACTGGGCTTTGCTAGTTTGGTTTTTGCTCTACATTTCAGAAGCAGATTAATAGAGAACGAAATAAGTTAGTGCAAAATCTTTAACTTGAGTCTGATTATTTTTTGAAACCTCACAAGAATACATTTTGTGCTACTTGGCTTTGTAGACACTTGAGTAACTGGACTTGCTTTAGTTAAAAAATATGCAGCTTTTCATGACTTTATTTCTGTAGCCTTCATGGTGGATTTATTCACCAGCTGTGCTTATAACTTCTGGACTACTTATTTTATATTACTGCTGCTATACCAGCAGGAATGGAAAGTATAAACATTCACATTTTTCCTAATTTAAATCTAATGGAGGAATTAAATATTTTAATAAGGAAATCTAGCAATGAGTTGGTTATGCATATAATTTAGAGGTGCATTCAGACAACACTTTTTTTTTAAGCTCACCCCCAAATAGATTTACTTCTAAAAAAGGATTTAGAGGTTTGCATACAGAGCTGTTGGATAATGTCCAATGCCTATGATGCAGCGTTCTCTGTGTAGTGGGCTAAATTGTGAACTTCAAAAGCTACAGAGGGTATGTATGTAAAAGTGTATCAGCACAGTTTAATGTTTAGTACTTTTTAGAAATCAAATAACCAACTGTTTTGGATTTCTATAATACAAAATGTTCCCAAAGGGTATGGATTTGATTTGATTTTGATTTTTTAAATAAAGATGCTGTTGAAATCGAAGCATCAGTTCTACATTGTTTTGGGACAAGTCTTTTCACAATAAACACATCCCATTTCCCCGTATGATTACTCATGAGTCACGCGCATTTGCTAGTCATTGAAACCAGATTAGCCTTCTGAAATCTGAGTAAGCAATTAGCAGTGCCAAGAACCTGCATTAACAACATATAATCTTAAACTACTAAAGCTTGTGTTTATATGCAATATAAGGCTGTGGAAATTGCTGACAAGCAGCTCATCACATGGGAGCTGTAACATTTGAACAGCTGCCATCTATGTTACTGGTGGATTTTAAGTGTTCCAATGAACCTGCAGCCCCCTTCTACTTGTTTAGCCAATTCATGTGAGTAATCTCTCCTTTTAAGCCAAATTATTCTTAAATAAACTGAATTTAATACAACTGTATCATTTGAAAAGCAATTAAAAATGGTTTACAATTGAGGTTAATGCAAGGTAACTTGATTTACAGGAAATAACTAAGGCAAATAGTAGGTGCTATATGGCAGTCTGGTTAGCAGCTACCACACTGTTGAATAAGGTATGCCTTAAACACTGTTGGGTCTCGTAGAAATGTAGATTTGGAAGTCCAACCCCCTGCAATGCAGAAATCTCAATTCGATCACACACGGCAGATGGCCATCCAACCTCTGCTTAAAATCCTCCAAGGTAGGAGAATCCTCCAGCTACCATCCACAAGAACAGAATTAGGGTGGAAAGGCTAAGGTAAACTGAGGGTGTGTGTAGGCTAAATTAGAAGCAAGTGCATTATGAAGATGTTCAACATGTTTACTGTTTACGTCAAGGGTTGTAAGCAACCTGTGTTTTTTGCCCAGAGGCTTGCATTCGATTTTGGCCAGCCCTCGAGGGACTGCATGCCAACAACTGCTGTGACTACACACACACACACACACACACACACACACACACACACACACACAGGTCCCCTTCTTGAACTAATCCATGCAGATCAGATGAGAAGGGAAGATTATCACCAATCTGATGACAAAGGAATTGCTGGGCAGTCCCTGCAACTTTAAACAAATCTCCACCCATCACAGTGCTGTCTCTACTTAAAAGCAAGCTTTTGCCAGCTCCAGAAGGGGTGCGGTGGCATAAGCAGAGGTTTCTGTACAGAATATTTATCCCCAAATATTTATCCTTAAGTGTAATTCAGCAATAATAAAGACGTTTTTCCTAGGCGTAATCCCCCTCAGCCTAGCAGCAAGGAGGCAGGATGGAGGGTCCCATAGTGTCATTAAGGAACAAAGAATGTAGAAGAAACTTTGGAAAGAGAAAAAAAAGCATTGCATCCTTTTCAACTTGGGTTGAGACACAGGTAAAAGGTAATAAATTTCAGGGTGATATTACTTCTGTCAAGTCTTATTACTAATTTATATAAATCTAGTGTGGAACATATAATCTTAAGCATAGCTCATTTGTATGTCATTCATGTGTTTCCCAAGTCTGTACTTCTTATATTTAAGCTATAGTTTTTAATAGCGAAGAATCTGAATTCTACCAGTCCTCAAAATTACATCAAAAATGCTCCCTAGTAATTTGTTACACAGAGGAATGCTTCCTTCCAGGTGCCAATGGATGTCTTGAATACTTACCTTCTGCACAGAGAAATATGGCTTCCTTGTATTGAAGGCTTTGCCACTTGCTTTCGTTAGCAAGTGTGCTACAGAGTGCTATTTCACTTATCTTCTCTTAAGGTTTAGAAAATTGAAGAACACTGAAAAAGGCAGTTGACCAGGTAGTTACCACCCTCTTAGGTCAATCTATAAAGCTTCCCTTGTATGAAATTATATTTGACTTATTCCTGAAGACATATTGATGTATGTCAGAACTGGAATCCCCAAAGCACCTCTCTCTAGATCAGGGTTTCCCAAACTTGGGTCTCCAACTGTTTTTGGAATACATTCCCACTGATCCTGCTAGCTAGGGATGATGGGAGTTGTAGTCTGGCAACAGCTGGGAGACCCAAGTTTGGGAAACCCTGCTCTAGATTTTGTTTCCTTAGTGAAGCAGATTCCATCAGATTTATGGAATATTCAAAAGAGCATGCCAACATCAAGAAGCCGTTGAACCCTTGACTTGGAGAGACTGGCCTTTGTCCATGTTTGCAGGATTTGGGGAGCATCAGAACAGTTTGATTCAAACATGTATTTATAACAGGGTGTGGGAACCTATAGCCTTCCAAATGTTGAACTCCAATTCCCATTACCTCAAGCCATTATGGCTTGTGGTTACAGATGATGGAAGTTGTAGTCCAGCAACATCCACAAGTCCAAGTATTACCCAAGTTTTGAAACTGCCAATATAGATTCCCCTTTGGCTCTGTAGCATTAAGTGGGGTGGACAACATGTTCTAGGGAGCTTAAAAAGCCATGGGTTCTGCCTAGACTGGAGCCCCTTCTTTCTTCCACATGCCCAAAGGAAAGTATTGTCCAAGGCAGGAAGCCACTTGGAATGGGCTCCAATGCAGCACCAGAAATTACAATCAGAAAATGAAATCCAGAGAACTGGACCTGAACCAATCTTTATTTTCCTAGATTGTGCATGAATGGAAACTGTGGGAAGTGGTAGGATACTAACTAATTAAAAGTTTTAGCATAGCGCTATTGCTGTTTTTACTCACTTTTGAGCAGGCCTTTACTAAACTAAATTATTGAGGAAGATGTGTTCCAAACCCAGCATCTTCTATATGAAATGCGTCAACACAAGCTGTTAAGCTTAAGTATTTTCTTCCAGTTTAGCTGCTTTTATTTTCAGTCAGGATTCTCTAAACGATACTGCAGATGACCAATGTCATATTTACAGGGGAGTTCCAACAAATTTGACACCCTACAATGCAATAGTCACTTAAGTCAAGAATTTGAAGCAGACAATGTTAGGTTTGCTTCTAAAAGATTCAAGTCACAGCTGACAAGACTACATTTGTAATTTTGTTCATAGAAACATTACATATTTAGAAAATAGCTACATGTGCACTAACTTATCAACTGGATAATCAGTTGGGAACTGTTTTTCCAATATGGTCATTTAAAAACATTTCAGTACACAGAAAGCCTAGTCAGTCTCCTGGCTGAGTCTCATTCTCACAGAACAATTTTATATTGCTGGAAATCATCATCTTTGGAGCCAGAGTGGTACTTCTTGAACCATCTTTTGCTTTTAGACTGAACATGTGATGAAATTTCAAAACAGATTCAAATCAAGTAGCAAGTTAGTGGAATAGTTTAATACAGAATTGGTTGGCACAGTCCCAGTTTTCATAAGAAGTCTTAACTACCTATTAATTTCATTGCATTAAATGCTGGTTATGTAACTTTGGTTACATTCTGCAGCAAATTATGTGGAAAAAAGCAGGTGTCAGTTTTCAAACACAAAACTAGTTATTGTTAATTTGATATAACAATATGCTATTCTGTGTTGTTGTTTTTAATAAAAAGACTATTTTGAATAAAACAGGACACTAACTTTTATTTGGTAAAGGAATTAGAATAAGAGCTCTTACAGAAAATGGAAGGAAACCTACCTTTCTTCATTACTGTCCATACATTCTCAATTTTCTTCACTTAATTCATTAAGGGGATAGCTGTAATTTGGGAAAGAGAAAGTTTTTCTAATTTGAATTTTCTAACTGCTTGTAAGAATTCCATAAAGAATGCCATCTATTCCCCTTGTCCATAATTTACTCTGAATGTAGTGTAAATATTAAATATTTGTATCAAACTACAAAGTACCTTCCAACAGCCTTTTGAATTTAATGAAATGTTCTTCAGACCTTAAGCTTACATTGTTAAGGCACTTACCATTCAAGTAAAACAGTTTTTATACAAACGCTGGGAAGATGGACAGGATATTTTACTGGACGAATGACTTTGAAAGTAAATCAAATCGATGCCCAAATATGTATAAAACTGTTATATCAAGAAAGACTGTGTTTTATTGTCTGAAATGAGCACAAAGAACTCCTTCCACAGATAACACTGAAAGCAGTGCAAAGACTGACAGTGACTTTTTGACTAAAAGGTAGTTTTGTAAAAAGAAATACCAAATAAATCAGTGCCCTGCTTTGATTGTTGTAAAATTTTTACATAAAAGTTGGTCCAAACTTACAAAAAAAAGCACAAGTGTGTGCATAGTTCAGATCTGACAATGTGCCATAAAAAGCTGATGTCCCTAAATTTAGCATCGACTTAACTGCCAAAATATAAAATTTATAGCTAGAATTTGCAAAGATGTACAATCAATTATCTGGTTCTCAGAACAGCATGAATTGTAAGCAATTTCTTATTGTATGCAAGACCCTTTTCCACATAAAAATAAAGCTGTTGAATTAACATTATTCAAGTCTATTGGATTGCTGCTTTGAAATCACAGCTACGAAGTCTTTCCAGGTAAAAACGATGTGCCTGAGGGAAAAAGAAAGAAACAGATGCTCAATATGGCAATCCTCTGCCTCGTCCTCTGACACTGGATGTGCTAATGTGTCCCCTGTATCCTTGTGAATATCCAGGTCCTTGGGCAGGAGAAGTCCACGTTTGTCCATGCATGTGGCTAACACTGCCAGGGGGTTCTTGTAAATTACTTCCATAGCTATAGTTCTGTGTCTTTGAGGACAAGGAATGAGTACTTTCAGACCCTGTGCACGTGTCACCACTGTTACCCAGAACTGTGATGGGACCATGGCTATATTCAAATCTATGGTCCTTATCACCACTAAATAGCATGGGACCAGTGTTGAGGTAAATGTCTCCATAACCAGTTACTGAGCTATGAAATGGTTCTGAAAATGCAGGAGGCGGAGGGGCACCACTAGAGTGAGATGAAGCAGTACTGTAGGTCTCCAAGGGTTGAACATCTGAATTTCCAATGAAGTTTCCCCTTTCTAGTGTCCCAGACGATCCACTTCCTATTCCATCACTACTGCTGTAATGAGCAGAGGAGAATGTAGATGACCCAAAACTATCCTTATAATCTGGACCTGCTACAAAAGAGTCTCTTGATTGGAAATCCATACTAGACGTTGCTGGTTTCTCCGTTGTTTGAGCCTGATGGTGAGCAAGCAGCTGTAGAAGAGCTGCTTTCACTCCAGCATGAGGATCCATCCCTGAAGAGCTACTAAGTGAAGACAGGTTTTGGTTCGCTGTCCGATAATCAAGATCTTCCTCAGTGACAGGCGGTGGTTCTGGTGGCTCAGGGGGGCGCTGGTCTGGGGGCAAGATGCGAGGTCGTTCCTCTGGCGTCTGGGGTCTCATCTCAGGTTGCCTGACCAAGTCCTCTTGTCCTAAATGGATTTTTAAAGAATTCAGAATGAGATCTGTAACCATTGTTCATCAAACAACAAATTAAGAGTACATTGTTGAATGTCTTAAATTTGATCACAGAAAG